GTCCCCACCCCATTCTTACCTTTTATAAACAGATCAAACAACCAATCAGGGGGTAGATGGGGATGAATAAGGAGAACAGGTCGTGGCAAACAGTAAATATCATATCGTTCCCGATGACAGAGGCGAGCTCCACAGCAGTGATGGTGATCAAACACATCTGAGGGACGGAGAAGCAGAAAAAGAATGTGACTGATGAGGCAAAAAATATATCACGAGAGTCCTGCAACTGTAATCAAAGTATATAAAGTGACGTCATAGCTTGAAAGATGAATAAATAACATTTCTAGCAGATATGAAGTTCTGGAACCCGATGTGTTTGCACGCAGCTGTCAATGCTCCATCTATGGCCAATAGCCGGGCCGCTCTCATTGGGCAAAGCTCTAACAGGTCCAGATAGTGTCTGAGCTTGCCTTCTCCTTTCCGCCCCCAACATTCCTATTGGCCCGGTACTATGATTGGCTGTGTAACTGGCCAATAAGATTGTGTGAGAGGCAGGAACTGGGGGACAAGTTTTCACACTGCCAGCAAGTGTCAGAGCTTTTCCCAATCAGAATGGCCGGACATTCACATGTAAAGATCTCCCAACCCGAGTGGAAAAGAGAAGAAAGGGAGGAGACGTCCATTCTCCTGAGGACACCAAGTGTAACTGGCAAGGGATACATTCTCTTTGTGCCCCTCGTCCATTTTTGTGTGCGTAGGTGGCAGTATAACCTTTGGTTACTTATTACCAATAAGCCTGTGTCCCTTGACAGATAATGGAGAGAGCACTTTAATATTATAATTCTTCAGGATTTATATATTGTCAACGTTTTGTGCTGCACTTTACAACAAAAAGGGAGACAGAAGAGTTACAAAACCATTCAAGACAAGAGGGTTAGGAGAGCCCTGAGTAATGATGAGATTGGGCTTAGGCCCCATTCACACCTATGCGTATTGTAATATGCGCGTCTGTCGCGCGACCGTCATGCGGTTTTTTTACCGCGATTCGCGGTAAAAAAGCCGCGCGACCGTCGCGCGATTCCAAAGGCTACTTGGCAGTATACTAATGGAAAACGCCCTACAAAACGGACCAATACGCAGCAAAAAACGCTTCGGGACCTTTTCATGCGTGGGCCGTTTTGTAGCGCGTTCGGGACGGGCGGAAATACGGACAGGTGGGAACGAGGCCATTGACTACAGTGCTATTTATTTTTTTGACCGTTTTGTAGAGCGTTCATCGAGCGTAGGACGCGCTACAAAACGGTCAGGTGTGAATGGGGCCTTAGTGTGAACCCCGAGCCTGCTCCAAACTGTGACCGCCACTTCCCCCTCCTGGCCCAATCAGCTGAGGCAGATGCATTCCCCGACCTACAACTACACATCACAAAGGGGCGGGCAATGCACCCGCTGTAACTGCCGCCACTCATTGGGTCAGGAGAAAGTGTGGCGCTCACAGTTTTGAGCAGGCTCGGGCAAACTTAGGTGAAATGCGTTCGCACGAAGCCCGGACTCATCACTACACATAGGAGCTTACACATTAATATTGTTATTAATCAGATGTCCGCCACTCGGCCTCCCCAGCCACCAAAGAGACAATCGTTTAAAACAGTGGTCTCAAAGTACCGGCCCGTGGGTCCTATCGAATGCAGACCGCAGAGCTGCTTCTGTGTCGGCACTCGGTAATTGATTGGTAAGGTCTGCTGCAAACCTTACTATTCAATCACCAAGGATCGTGCCTCCTCACACAGCCTCCTCCCTGCAAAAAGGTAAGCAGGAGAGGGGGCTCTGTATTACATTTTCCATGTGGGTGTAAGGGGGACGACTGGGGCTGTGTTATTTTATTATGTAGAGGGGTAGTATTTTTTATGTGTATGGGGGGTCCGACTTAGACGTCGGGATCCGCCCAGCTGCGTGAGTGACAGCTGGCTCCGCCTATCTAGAGGCAGAGCCAGCTGTACCCGCCCCCTCCCCCGTCCGTCCGCCAGTCAGCGCTGGTGGATCAGAGCGGGGAGGGGGGAATCCAGCCCCTCCCCTGTCATGGCAGAGAGCCGTGAAAGGATCGAGAGGCGAGCGAACGCCGGTATCTGTTCGCTCACCTCCCGATCTACTGAGCCGACCTGTGACAGTCTCATTGTCACAGGTCGGCTAGAACTATGAGGGGAGTGGAAATCACTCATCTCATAGTTCTCCTTTAATGTTAATGATCAGGTGACAGCAGCTGAATGTAAACGCCTGCACACCACATGTAATCATATGTAATATGATTAAATGCGGTTAGAACTCCCTGGATGCACAATCAATGCGTCTGGGGATAGTAATTGATTCTTACTCACATGTAATTATATCACTTACCATTACATGCGGTGTGCAGGCTTTTACATGGAGCTGCTGTCACCCGATCATTAACTTGAACGGGTGACAGCGGCCGCTTGTAAACACCAGATTAGCAATTCCTGCTGCAGGAAAACGCAAGTTCCTGACGCAGGAATCCCTAATCGCACCTAAACCTACAGATATGAATGGGGCCCTATTGTGTGTGTATTGGGGTCCGTTGTACCAAACCGGATATAGTTACATTTTGTTTTAAAGTCTGAAATTTGGCAAGCGGCCCCCATGGGAGAAAAAAAATTGTCGAGTGGCCCCCCAAATGAACTGAGTTTGAGACCCCCTGGTTTAAAAGTTACTTCCGAAATAAAGGCTGTAAAAGCACAACAGTTGTGTAGCGCTGCGAAAGCTGGAAGCAGATCCTAAATATCTAACAAGAAAATATGACTTCCTCCCACCGCCCCCAATGTCCATATATCATTATAAACACCATGAAGCAAAGTTTTAGGTTTCAAAACGTGAACATTCTGTACATTGGTAACCCAATAACACCCAGCTGATCTCCCTTACATGAATATCTTCAGAATGATAGAAATGATACATTTCCTTTAAGGCACCTCGTCATCAGTCACCGTACATACCATAGAAAAGAAAATTGACCACCACTGCCGGGTGTCGCTGATGCGTCTGTAGGAAAAGGTAGCCACGTAGGTTAGCAGCACCGTCGCTGGCACGTAGCCGATCAGGCAGAAGATCTGAAATAGGAAGCAATGCTTGAAAGTACAAGTTTTGGCTTTATGCGCCATAAACACTTTTCTCCGATGTTCTTTGAGGGACACAGCTCCCCCCCCCCCC